GAGATACCTTGGCTTTCTGTGCGTCCTAGCCCAGCAACCAGGCTTTTTCCCCCCCCTTGCATGTCTGCATCCCTACCTTCTTCCCAGGCAGACTGCCTCTAAGCAGCTGGGAAGGGAGCCGATTGCCCCTAATCAGCTTAGTGCTGGTGGGAAGCTCAGAACACTAAATACAGATGGCATCACCCCCCGAAGATGCAGCATGCCGCTGTGACTTTCAGCAAGGCATCTCTCCCTCTTAATTTTGTTTGAGTGGACCGAACACCCTCTCAACTATGAAGCAGCAGAATGCCACATTGCCTTCTTGACGGAATTTTAAGAAACTAGGGACAAACATAGCAAACATGCATGCATTTTGAAAGTACTAAAAATTGTAGTCCTCCATTACCATTTTTTCACTTGAAACTTTGTCTTTTCCATAGCTGAAATAACACATTTTAATTAGGAAAATACAGAACTGGCTTACATAAAAATGTTAATATAGTTTTGGGGTTTCTTTTTTTTCCATCACAAAGGGCTAGGAAGCCATATTCTTATATGGGATAATGCTTTATACCATGAGGAATTTGTGAAAATTCCAGTTAAACCACCAGCTCCAATAAAAATAATGCAGAAGAAATCATTGGGCCTTGGCCCACATTTTGCTGACTGTCCTTTTTCCAAATTTCAGTCTGTGAGGAAATCACCTGGGAGAGGATTCATCTCATATGAGTTTAAATGTGTCCAGCACAGACATCACCACCCTGAGCCCATCACCCTCAGGTCCTTGTACAGTCATTGTAGAGAAATAGGCACTTTTCCATCAAGGACCATCTGGTCTGCTTTAAACATGTACCTTGGGATGAGAAGAATCACTTCACTGACTCTGCTCCCTAGATCTCTTTTTGCTGTAGGGTCTGCAGACATACAGGTTGTACCTGTCCGTGTTTGCTCAGATAAATCCCTCTCTCCGTCCCATGGAGGGGAACTCAATTAAGTGCCACCCGCTTTCTGGAGGCTCTGCTCACCCCTGTTTACCACCAAGATGAGTGCAAAAAAAGCAGGTACTCGGCATCTGGAATTCGAATGGTGTCCAGGCAGCTTTTGGCCTAGGGGTATGTAGCTTCTCTTCGGAAGTGTGGCAAACCCTGGGATGATGAAAAGGCTTGGTGAAGCAGCACAGCTTCAGCCAGAGCAGGCGGCAGGGAACAGGCAGAGCAGGAGGCAGCAGCCTACACAGGGGGGCAAAAAAGCCTTGCTGACTCCATTGCCCCGGTTCACCTAAGGCAAACCATTAAATACTTGGCACTTGTGTATTTGGCACCGCACAGGACTGTGAACTGGAGTCGCATAGGCATGAGCAAATACCCCAGTCTGCTCAGTGGGGCAGCCCTGTCCCGGGAGTTAGTGGGGAGGGCTCTCTCCAAGACCCTTGTAACGCAAGAGGGATTTTTAACTTACCTCAGGCTGCAAAAACTACACCCTCGATCAGCAACTCCCTGTACAGTCAGGGAAGGAAAAGAAGTTACAATAATCCGAGCAAGTACAGCCTAATTGATAACCCCCAGGGATATAACTTATTCACTAACAGACTATAAGGGGATCTTCATGTTGTCCACTAATGTCTAACATCTGTGATATTTAATTACCTGCACTCATCTTTTAAATGAAGGTGTGCAGTAATCCTTCCTGAAGCCGAACTGAGAAAATAATATTTATTAGCTGAGGGTCTAGTTCAGAAACAGATGGGGTATAAAGAGCTTGAAGGTGGTGTACAGGAGGACTGTGAAGCAGGAGAGATTAATTGCTAAGTGATTGAGATGGAGGGGAAGTGTGTTGACTGCAGAGAGTATAAAACAACAGATATCCCAAGCTCTGGGATTTCACTGGGACAGATTGAATTTTAATGGTGTATTTCCAAAACTGCCTTTGTGAAAGCGCGAAACACTGGAGAGTGACAAGGGGTGATGTTGGGCTGAGTGGCCAGCTCTCCTCTGAACCAAGCCCACCCCGTCTCCTTCTTTGCCCTGTCCCGGGCTCCCTGATTTCCTACTTTGTCTCTCTTGCTTGCACTGGGGACCTCATGGCAGCAACATTAACCCACTGCTTCCTCACATCATTCCTAGGTCTTAACTCCAGCAGAATGTCTCTTCCTCTAATTGAGGAAAAACACTGCAAGATCTGTTACATACTATTCAGTTATTACTCCGTGAAATTGGTAACTGTATCCAATACTATACCTTAAACTTTCTTCTATCCTACAGAGATAATTAACTGTGCTACGTGAGCTGCTAGTCCTTTTCTACCCTGCCTTTGTCGGGCTTCCACGAGTATTTGAAGAGCTAATCTTCTGTTACGCTTAAACGTTGCCCAATGTTAATAGTCAGGCAGTGTTTATCACTGAGTGGAGTTTTTTGACGGCCTTGAAATCCTCACCTTGTTTTGTACTTGGAGCTACAGCACGAGGAATAGACAAATAAAGAAAAAGAGGATAGTGGTGTTAATGAATAAGCTCTGCAATGAGTAAGTATAGGTGAGAGACAATCATCTCTCACGTAGTTCCATCGGTTCAGCAGGACCCAAGTTCCACGTCAAGCTCACAGGCTGAGCAAAAGCTGAAACTGATACCCAAAGGAGGCATTTAAGAAGTGGTGCAGATCCAAGGGACAGTTGAGAAGAAGCAGCACTTAGGAAGTGGCAGCTCCAGTGGGCCAGGATAGGCTGTGCCACATGGAGCTGCAGAGGGAACCCAGCTGTCGGGGGCCATCAGCCACCAAAGCTGAGCAAATCTGAGCTCATGGGGATTGGGGACAGGAGAGGGCTTCTCAGGGGGTGCAGCCAAACACAGTTATTCATATCAACTGAAGCCAGCTGACTTCAGTGGTTGTGCCTATAACCTGCAACCATTTCTCCTGCAAAATTTCTACTACTTTAAGCCATGGATATTGCTTTGCTATTCATTCCCATTGTGAAAACCTGAGGTAAGCCTTCTTCCTTCCAGCCAGTGTCCTACCCACCATTGGACAGGAGACAACATAGCAGTGCTTGTGAATGGTCTGCAGGGTTGAAGACAGCTCTCTCTCATATCTGAAAGCTTTGTAAAGTGGGACTTGTTTTGCACCTGGAGGGTATGGCAAGCCTTCAGGCCAAGAGTTAAGAACCCTTCGGCAAGGGTTAGGATGAGTAAACCAATATTATAGATGTAGAAATAGAGATGACTGAGATGTGTCGTTCTACTGATAGCAGAACCCATAATAGAGAAGTGAAATACTTGCCCTACCATGCAGCTGCAAGACCTCCATTGCCAGATGCTGAGCCTCCATTCCTAAAGCTTCAAGAAACATCCCTTCTGACCATGACTGTCCCTGTTCTTTTGTCTCACTGGCCACGCATGTCTGGGCAAGCATAAATTCTATGAAAAATACCTGCAGGATTGTTTATTTATTTGTCTGTTTGGTTATTTTTATCAGAGCAGGTGTTTGACCTGACAGAACTCTTTATTCTGTAGTACTCCCCATCTCCTGTTGGCTGTTCTTTCCCTTCCCACCCATTCCAAGACCCTGTGTTCAGTCTGTCCCCGCTCTTTTCATTCTCAGATACAAAAAAGTGCTTTTATATACACGTACATAAAACTGTTTAACTGCATGTTTTTTAAATGTGATACCTCACTCCTGTCAGCTAACTTTTCCATCCACTGTTCTCTCTGCACCTAGAAAACTAGGACTATTTTCCATTCAAATAGAATAAGTGATGCTTTCACATAAGTTACTTCTGAGAAGAGTGGGACTAGTGCAGGCTGCATCCCAGAGAAAAATGACTTCTTGCCTACAAGCAAAACTACTGAAGCTTATCCTCACACCATAACCTGCTGATTGCTTTTTTTTTTTTTTTTGTGGGTGTTTGTGTAAAGCGCCTCCATAAGCCAGAGAAATTACCAAAAAATGAGAAAAGATGTCTTTTATCTGGAACAGAAGATGGCCTGCGGGGTGAATCTGCACCTGCCTTCCCCAAACTAAAAGTTCCCACTTCTTTCACACCAGCTGCCTGCTCTGCACACAACATGGTATTTCTCATCAAGTTTAAATGCAAACCCTCACAGAGGCGCCTAGTGCTTGGCACGGTCACATATGAAAGAAAGCTACTTGAAAGGCTGCAAATCTATTTTTTATTTTTTTTTTTTACACAGAGTTTCAGTGTTCCCTCTTGCAACTTTTTCAAGTTGATAAGGATAAATTTTCCTTCTTAACAACACTTGGTGCACCCCAAAAATGGCTTGGGAATACATTTTAAATACTAGGTAGCTGCTGGGATGAGGTGTTGGCTCATCTGTATTTTAAGAAAACGTGGAAGTTGGGGCTCTGCCAGTTTGAGTGCGCCAGCAGAACACTACAATAGTGGCTCCCATCATAAACCTGGATTTGGGAAACGGCATCCCTCTCCTTGTTCTGGTGGCCAGCAACCCCCCAGCCCCTGGGTGGCCGCCAGGTCCACCTGCCAGCAGGCCCTGGGCTTGTGGGTGCCAGGCTGGTGGCCAGGGAGTGGGGTGTCTGTCTGGGGGGCTGCGAGAGACACTGTGCCTGCTGCCGTGAACAGAAGAGAAGGGAAAAAGTGAGGGCAGAAATGGGTCTCGGGGGGCTTTGGGGTGGGAGGTGCAGCTGCTTGGCAGGCATGACCAGCCCCGGTGGGGCCTCTGGAGGAGAGGTGCAAGCTTTTTTGGCTACTCTTTGCCGAGGCTCCAGTCTCGCTGAACACCTACAAGCATCCTGCGGGCAGGGAGGAGATGGCTGAGGGGGGACCCGGCAGTGCTCGGAGCCACCATGGACACCTATTTCCCCACCTCCTCCCCTACCAGCAACAGCCGAAATCCCTGGATTTACCGGGTGGGGAGCGGGGTACCCGCCGGCCGTGCCCCGTGCGGGGGAGGCGCGGGAGGAGGAGCGTGGGCACCTGTGGCTGCCGCCCCCACGCACAATCACACACACACGGCCCCGGGGGCGGCCCTGCGCAGGCGCCGCCGTCCCCCCCGTCGGTGCCCGGCGCTCATCCCCGGTGGCGGCGGCGGCTCGGCTGGTCCCCTCTCGTCCCGGCGACCGGACGCTCCGCTTTTGTGCGGCGGCCCCGGGAGAGGCCGGCATGGCGGAGAGCCCGGGAGGGCTCGGCGTCCCGCCGCCGGAGGGGAGCGACGTCCCGCGGGAAGGAGGCGATGAGGAAGCGGCGACGGAGGGGGAACCGCAGCCCGGGGTGTCCCCCGAGGGGTCGGCGGAGCCCCCGGACGGGTCCCCCGCCGGCGAGGCGCCGCAGCTGAGCGGGGAGGCGGCGGCGGTGCCCCCCGAGGGCGGCGGCGGGACGGGGAGCGGCTCCCCCGAGGGGGCGGCGGAAACCCCCGGCGGGTCGGGCGCGGAGCAGCAGGTTGCGGAGGGGCCTGAGCAGCAAGACCCCGGCGGGGGCTCCCCGGAGAGCGAGGGTCTGCCAGGAAGGGAAACGGCGGCGGCGGCGGCCGCGGGGGTAGACGCGCCCGAGGGCTCCGCGCCGGCGAGCGCAGACCCCGAGGATGCGGCGGTGGCCCCGGCGGGGCCGGAGCCCGAGGAGGCAGCTCATGCGGGGCCGGAGCCCGAGAACGCTGCCAAGGCCCCGGCAGGGTCGGAGCCCGAAGAGGCGGAGGCGCCCCCGGCGGGGCTAGACCCCGAGGAGGCGGTGAGGGAGGCAGCCCCGACGGAGGCAGCCCCCGAGGAAGCTGCGGCGACAGCCCCGGCAGGAACAGACCTCGAAGAGGCAGCGGGGCCAGACTCCGAGGAGGCTGCGGTGACAGCCCCGTCGGGGACAGACCCCGAAGAGGCGGTGGGGGAGGAAACCCCGTCGGGGCCAGAGCTTGAAGAGGCGGAGGCGACAGCCCCATCGGGGCCAGACCCCGAAGAGGCGGTGAGGGAGGAAACCCCGTCGGGGACAGACCCCGAAGAGGCGGTGGCGACAGTCCCGTCGGGGCCAGACCCCGAAGAGGCGCTAAGGCAGGCAATCCCAGAGGGGACAGACCCCGAGGAGGCTGCGACGACAGCCTCGGCAGGGACAGACCCTGAGGATGCGGTGCGGGAGGCAGCTCCGGCGGGGACAGTCCCCGAGGAGGCTCCGGCGACAGGCCCGGAGGGGACAGACGCTGAGGATGCGGTGCGGGAGGCAGCTCCGGTGGGGACAGTCCCCGAGGAGGCTCCGGCGACAGGCCCGGAGGGGACAGACCCTGAAGATGTAGTGTGGGAGGCAGCTCCGTCGGGGACAGTCCCCGAGGAGGCGGCAGCCCCGTCGGGGAGCGAGGTGGCTCCCGGGAGCCGCGGGGAAGCGGAGGCGGCGGTGCCGACCGGCGGGGAGGCCGATGGCGGACGCCGGTGGCCGGGCGGCCCCGATGGCGAGGAGGGAGCGGAGAGGCCGGTGGCGGAGCAGGGAGCCGCTGCACCGGCGGCGGCGGCGGGAGCAGAGAGCGCGGCCCCGGGGGCAGAGGAAGGCGGCGCGGCGGCGGGGGAGCACGGCGGGTCCCCGGGCCCCGAGGGCGGCGAGTGGGACCCGGCGGGTCGGAGCCTGAACGGCGTGCGGGGCCGGGCAGAGGACGAGGAGGACGAGATGGGCTCGCCGGCCGCTCTGGAGGAGGAAGAGGAGGATGAGGAGAAGCAGGAGCACGACATCTCCCTCTTCGTCAAGGTAGGGTGTGAGGGGGGAAAGCGGGGTTCGCCACCCTCCCCGCCTCCGGCAGCTCCCGGGCGGTTCCTGGGATGAGCGGCATTTAAATCTGGCAGGCAGAAGTCCAGCCTGGCTAAGGTGATTTGGTTATTAGTGCCCAAAATAAACTTGCCTCTGGCTCCTCATTCCTTCAGCTGAGAGCAGGCAGGACGGGATGGAGGTGGTACTGCTCAACCCCGACCTGCAAGGTGGCCTCTCCCCATAGTTTCCCCTCCTGGGCCCTGTGCTGGGTTACTTGAGGTTTCTCTAAGTTTAAATGGGAAGGGTGTAGCAGGGCTTTTGGTTTCTGTGGGCTCAGGGGCTCTGCTTGTGCCCTCCTCACCGTGGGGCTGCGGCGCAGGGCAGGGGTGGGAATGTACCCAGCAGTATCTGGTTGGAATCACCAGCCACAATTTGTGACATAAGGACTTCTCAAGGGATTTTAAGATCTTCAGAATACAGTAAGAAGCGTTCACATCACATCATGGGGGCTCAGGCAGTAGAAACTGGAAAACATAATTAAAAATGTGATGCTGGGATTTTCCAACATGAGCTATGGCCGACATTTAGGTGATTGACTCCAAGTTTGGCAAGGCTGGATTCAGAGAATCAGTCAACTGCCCAGCAATGTAGCATCCCTTGTAATAGTTTGTGTATGTTTGGGCAGGGAAGATTTAGGTTAAAGGGAAATGGACAAAAAAGAAGAAAAATTGTAATGGTATTAAAACTAGTTTCTGGTACTTTATAGTATAGAGTTTTAGAGCTTCTTTCTAGCCCGTGCCTGGAATTCCACCAGAGTCAGTGGGACCTGGTGTGGAAACAACATCCGTGCACAGAGAGGAAATATCAGATGTGAAATTTCTGTGTGTAGAAATCATCCTAAGGTGTTTTCTTCCCTCCTCTCTGGACTAAATAAAACGTGGATCAGGGTGGAACGTTTTTCTCAGAGTTAACCTAGAACTAAATTAAAACTAGGGAAGCAGAAGGTGTTTGGGACCACCTCTGCTACAACCATACCTCCCATGCCAATATTGTACCTCCTGAGTTGGCTGAAACTGCTTCTATGGCAGCTGAAATTAACCGTGACAGAAAAACTCATTGCCAGCCCTCTTCTGGGTGAGGAGGGTTAGGGCTGAAGCAATGTTTATGCCTTGATTTATCCCACCTCAGCACATGCTCCTTTTTTTTCGAGGCTAAGCCTTCTTTGAAGTATTGTTACTTGAAAAAGGCTGAGGAGTGCTCTGAGGCTTACACATAGCAGTGTTGGACGTGCTGGACAATGCCAGACTGGAAAGAGGAATAATAATAACGGCTGATGTTGGTGAATGCTCCCTGGAAACTGTCCCCAGTTTAAGCAATTCCTTAGTATGCAGGCTGGGATGGATTCTGGGGTCTACAGGCAACTCTGCACATCAGGCAGGTGTACTGTAGCTAGGTAATACTGGAGCCAAAATCTGTGATTTTGCATCAAACAGCAGGTGCTGTTACTGTTGAGCCTGGCAGAGATAATTTATGGACTTTCTGGCTCACAGATCACTAGGTCCCTTTGCAGGGTCACGTTTGTAACTTATTTATTCTCCTTTTATGCTCTTATATCCATCAGGGAATGCCAGGGAGTGGCAGAGGGCTAAAGTCATAAAGGCTACCTGTCCATTATTGTACCCATTCCACGCTTTATGGAAGAACAACGGGACCAAAATTAGAGACCAGATTATAATAAGAGCATCTGTTTGACTCTGTAGTCCCCAAACATTAGTATTAGGGTTTTTGAAAATATTTAGGAATTAATAAAGACAGAAGAAGGAACATTTTCATGATAGACTTAGCATTAGTAACTTAAGAACACCTTAAAAATACAACAGCTGCTCTTCTAGTGATTTCAGTGGAGGAGTATTGCAAAGCTTGAATATTTTACCTCACCTGGAGCTAGATTTTTTTTTTTTTTTTAGTTTGAGATCCTCCAGTTCAATGCAAAAGGAAAATGCCTACTGGAGAGCTCAGCATCTCCCCACTCACCAAAATGTGCTGGGGCTGCAGTACTGGGAAATGAGAAGCATTTTTCTTTCCCGCTGTTGGGAGAGTTGATGTTCATGCTGCTCTTGCTGTCACCTGGAGACACACTAGCTATCTTTCTACCCTTCTCTTGGCATCAGGAAAGGGTATATAAAAAGGGAGAGACTGGAAGGTCTCTGTGGTGGCTTAAAGGAGTTTTTAAGAGCACATACATAATATTGTGCTTAAATAACTGCTGATGTATTTTGATGGGAAAAGGGGGAGAGTGGATTTCAACATGGGAAGTGTGAACTCTGGCATTTGGGGATTATTGTCTATATCTGACCATGGCATGTGGTCCACAGACATGATGCTCCTTCTTGAGCAAGTGCTAAAGCTCAAGGGTTAAGGAAGTGAGATGATCCAAACTGAATGCAGACATTTGTTTCCAGCCTGAAACACTTCCCTTCACATGCACGTTTCTAATGCATGTGACCACCCCTCTTATGCTTTATTATATCCCTATTCTATGCCTGCCTATTAGCTTTTATGTGCTTTCGAGATGTTGACAATCACCTTAACTTTGCAAGTGCTGCTGGCCTCTTTTCCCCTTCTGCTGTGTTTCTCAGCAAGCACCTTGTCTATTTTCTTCCACGCAAGCTGGGGGCTTCCTTGTAAATATATTATTCAGCATCTTCCTGATCATCTTCAAACCTCTGTTTAAAATTCTACCCTTCTGTAATGCCACTGGAAACTGAGCAGTGATTAGGCTGTTAAAAATACTGAGATCATTGGCTTGTTTGGTAGGACCCTAATTTCTTTGTCATCCCTATTTCTGTTTGTTTCACCTGCCTGTTAATTTTTGGCTTACTTGTCCATGGTCAAGGTGGGAATTGTTTGCTTGTTATCTGTGCCTGCATGAACAGTGCGAGAGATAGAAGGTCTGTGCCATGATTTGATAGTACTATACAAATAGCATACCATAATAGCAAGTGCGAGAGATAGAAGGTCTGTGCCATGATTGGACAGCGTTATACAAATACAGAGAAATGGTCAAAGTAAGTCCCATAATAGCAGAAAACTCACAAGAAAATAATACAGTAGTAGTGATTGACTGGTCCTCACAGTTTCTCTGCTGGGGAGCATTACACTAGACTTGGTGGACATTAAAGTACCTGGTAATCTTTCAGTAATAACGTTTTGAGAAAAGTGAACAGAAGTATCACCATTAGAAAAAAAACTTTTCAGATATATCTGTATGATGAACCGTGTTTGTTGTTTTTACTGTTGTTGATGAAGCTTGTTCTTTTTAGAGGGTTTGGTGTTGTGGGTTTTTTTTTTTTCTCTCTGCTTCCTGCTGCTTTGCATTGGTTCATTTAATTTTGCATACATGCATTTGAATATTGTGAATATCGTGTCACCTCGTGCCTCCCATGGTGAGGTGGTGGCAAAATTCCTGCTGGCTCCAAAAGTGTGGGTACCAGCAATTGCACTTTTAAGCGGATTTGGGTTGCTATGCAGTACTATTTAGTTTGAACCCAGACACCCAGGGTTCAACGCTGAGAACTCATGCTGTCTACGGGAGATAGACTGGACCAGCAGCTCGATGGCATATGGGCTACAGTAAGGCATCTCCAAAGACAGCAGGCATCTGTGTTTGGCCACCTGAGCTGTGCCCGTAGTGAAGCTGAACTACATAAGGCTCCTTGGCTATAGGAGCAAGACCATATCAAAATTGCTTTGAGGGTGTCACTAAGTGCCTATTTGATTTCCATTTTCCCATGAAACAACACGTACCGTGTATTTCCTTTAGATAGTAATATTTGATGTTTCTGGTGTTTCCAAGTCAAATGTTTGCAAAGGTCATCCAGATATGCTTTCTGATCGGTCCTTGGTAATTCAGCTAAGCATATCTAGCACCTTGGGTAGGACACCTTGTGGATGTTGAAGCTTGCTAGCTGGTCTTCTAAGGTCAATGGGTAATGCAGGCTTTTTTTTTTTTAATGTGGCAAAAGCCCTTTATTTGTCAGATGTTTGTAAATGACATAAATTTATCTTACTGTTTGAATATAGCAGAACTCTCACCAAAATTATTAAGTTAATTTTAAGCAATTTAAACATTTATGTAAGACTTACAAGTATATTTTTAAATTAAAAAAAAAAACAAACCACAAAAAACCCCTTCAAGGTTACCTAGCAATCAATTTTGAGTTTTCTTATAGATGTAAAACTTAAACATCAGAATCACTACTGCAGATTTCGTCACTCCAAAGATTTCTAGGGATAGTGATTTATCTGTAAGTGCTGAACACAAACAGTTGGCCAAACAACCCAGCTGGAGTGCAAGGCCTTTTCTGAGACTGGTTATCTTTCAAAACAATTCTTGCTTAGTTTCTGGGTTAAATGGTATATATTAAAAGCTGACCATGAGCCCAAGATAATAGATTTTATCCAGTGAAAAATAATAGGCTTTATTCAGTTTTGTGACATTCTTGGTCTCTAAATCAAAAGTAATTAATTTTCATTCAGAGAGTTATGTCACTCCTCCAAGGAACCAAGGTTAACTTTATCAATATGGAATTTCCTTGTACCACTCCTGAGATGTGCTTGACCGACTTGACATACTTAGAGCTGTGCTGAATTACCAGAAGTGCTGATAAACAAGAAAGTAAAAACCTTGCTGTGAGTAGAGACATGCAAATACAGGTGCTTGTGTCTGTGCCTCTGAACACCACAGTTAATGCATCCAACCTGAATGGTAACGGGTGCTTCGCAGTAAAGCACGGAAAAGAATATCCTTTTCTGTGATGTGATGGATCTGTGGTTTATATATAACTTACATTTAAGGTATAAGCTGAACTTCTGGGCTTTGAGTGCTGTTGGTTAGAAGTCCACGGAGAGCAGGAACTCAGATCCCTGCAGAAACCTAATGAGTATGCTCATTCAGTGGGCTCTGTGCTGTACCTGATGCTTGATGTAGACATTTACAA